GCGGTTCCTATTTCAACCGCGCGCGAACGCGGAGCGTCCGTAACGGATTGTTCGCGAATAACCTGTGGATAACCAGAGAAGTCACGTAGATAATTTCAATATTGTCGTTTTAGTATATTTTATATACTGTTGGTTTTAGGTCGTGCATTAGATATGTTATTGCCACGACAGACAATCTGATTTTCAAAATTTAGGATTTCATAAGTAGTTTTCAGTCCCGTTCGTTTTTTAAAATCAGAATCACCCATCCCAAACGTAGGAATCGCTGAACCTTCGCTTTATGTTTTTTTCATTTAAAAAATCTTTAAAATTCGTTCCTCACTTGCTCCAAAAACAAGACAAACATTATACATTCGAAAGTTATCCAGTTACATGATTTTTGACTTGTTTTCCTTTTTTGTCGTGAAACATTAATTTTCACATAACAACTAACACCAGATATTAAAAATCAGGTCGCTAGACATTTCTTCAAAAACACGTTTCGAATAAATTTATTTTTGTCTAGATTTACCATGGCATCAGTCTCCATCAATCATTTAGGATTTTTCAATCTTTTGTTGCTTTCACTATTTTTTTTTGAAATTCGAAAAATACTTTGTTTACATCATCGCATTTTCTCTGAAATCATCACTGTAATTCGTTTGTCTGAAGATTTTTCAGTCTCTAAAAACATGCAATCTTCTTATTTACAAGAGAATTCTGGTAACACTTTCGAAAATAAGCTTGTTCTTCTCTCGTATTGTTCTGGTACGAAAAGTGTTACTCAGGTAGTTTGGAAAACCTTTCTGAGCCATAAACAAGCCACGATTAAACTAAAAAAGGTGTCCGATTAGCCACGGCTGAAAAAGTTTATAAGGGGCTTAGAATAGTTTCGTTGTTGCTTATAAAAGTTTATCCATTTCTCGAAAAAGTTTGAAAGTGCTAATAATAGTTTTACTGTCGCTTAAAAAGGTTTATTCGTTGCTTGAAAAAGTTAGAGAAGGGCTTAGAAAAGTTTTTTTGATACTTAAAAAAGTTTATTCGTTGCTTAAAAAAGTTGTTTCACAGCTAAAAAGGTTTTATCGTTTCTACAAAAGGTTTCCACTATTGGTTCTTTTGAAGACAGATTTTCAGAAAATACATTCATTAGAGAAAAAGAAATGAACAAAAAACAAGAAAATTTAAACTGAAGTGGAATCTCGATCCCGAAACATCTCCGGACCTCAGATCGTACCGCATCCCCGTTGTTACCAGTTTAATATTATATCCTCCTGAAGATATTTAAAATTTTTAGAAATAGGTATTGAGAGCTACAACTCACTGTTATCGAAGACGTTCTCTTCTGATTCATACGTATTTTCGATAGTGTCTTTGGAGCAGGTTCATGTGATCGCGATTATGATCTAGTCTTCCTCATATTGGTGTAACACGATTTTCCAAATTGTCGCTTCGGAAGTTTGAAGTTTCTACTTGTCTGAAATTATGATTGATAAAGACATTTTTTGCTAAAACTGACGAACCGTAGGCTAAATTACTCCGTTCTGACGGCAGGTTTGAATTCCCATTCAATGATTCAAAATGACGTTTTTTCGATGATAGTTCTTGAGCAATATATTATGATTCTAGGAGATTGTGATTTGGATCGTCTCTCAAATAAACATTTTATGACTTTCAAACACACGGAAGCGAGCAAAAAAGTAAAAGATGATAAAAAATAAAACAATATCAGGTAAAATAATTTTAAAAACAGAATAAATCTTTCGAAAAGCCGGAAAAGTTTTAATAAGGCTCGAAAAGGTTTGAAAAGTTTAAATATGACTGAAAAAGGTTTAACTGTGGCTTGAAAAAGTTTCAGTTTCGAGCGCAGCTGGATAAAGTTTACAAATTGCTTAGAAAGGTTTGAAAAGTTTGATTATGGCTTGAAAAAGTTTAATTGTGGACTTTTTGCTTGAAAAGGTTTCAGAATTGCTCAAATGTAGCTCAGCAAGGTTTTCCGATTTACCTGAGTAGCTGTGGAAGAGAAACGCCGATGTCCGTGGCCAAAAGTCCCATAATGACAACTACCGTAACCTAAAAAATGTCCAAAAAATATAGTTTTTTCGGGAAAAAACTCATTTTTTATTCGTTTTTTTGGAAAATTTTTAGATCTTTTTAGGTTTTCAGCTATTTCCAAAATTCTTCTTCGATTTTTCCGGGGTTTTAATCTTAAATTCGATAGAGCGGTGTTTGATTACTGTAGATTACTGTAGAAACCCAAACCTTTTGTATTTTTTTTTTGCAAACACACTCACGTTTAAATACAGACAAAAACTGTTGCAAAGAAAACTACAAAATACGAGGGTTTCTACAGTAATCTCTAATCTTCCGTCAAGAACGCCATCCCGTCAAATTTCAGACAAAAAACTCTGAAACAATCGAAAAAGAGTCTCTAAAAATAGCTGAAAAACCTGAAAAGGTCTTAAAATTTTACAAAAAATCGAATAAAAAAATCAATTTTTTCTTCTCTGGTAATCGGGGNCCCAAACCAGATTCGGGAATTTCCATCCAGATGCGGGTAACGCGCATTTTTCAACCAGATTCGGGTAAAATTCCAACCAGATTTGGAAACTTTTTATTTTCCGACCAGATCCGACAAAGCTAATTTTCCAACCAGATTCGGACAATTTTCCAACCAGATTCGGATTTCTCGCGCTTTCAACAGAAAAGACCCAAAAAATCAGCGGAAACTTCAGATTTTTTCAGTATTTCAGTTTTTTTTTTGCTTTTTGAATTTATTATTCCTGGTTACCCATTCAGGTGCTTCCAGTCACTGCTCTTTTCAACCATATTCGGATTTCTTGCGCTTTCAACAGGCGAGAATCAAGTGCTTGATTTTTTTAGGTTGTTTTGCCCATAGTTGTTCAAAATAGAATAATTTTGAAGGTTTCAGATAATTATGAAGCGAAACAGGTGCTCACTGAAAGAAAATATGCGAGACGCTGAAGAAAAGTGTATAAATGGCGAAAGGATCAGTATAATCTCAAAGTTGACGGGAAAACAGAATCGAGAAATTATGAAATTTTCGGAATTGATTCAATTGTTGCCTCGGGTAATGAAGAAGATGTAGGAGAGAGGAACAGTGACGATGGAACTTTTTTGACTGACAGAAGTGAATTGAATGAGATTGAAGAAGCAGAGACACGAAACGCCTGGAGGTGTCTAAGTAATCAAGATTTGCAGAGAATCTACTTTCTCGTTACCACTACACCCTCAGCTGTGGTCTTCACTCACGATATCTGATAAACCCCAGACACCAAATGTCTCTCTTCCATCACGCTTCTCAAGAATCCCAATCAGTGAGTTAACAGAAAACCATCACAACAATAAATTATTATTTCATCTTTACAGAATTACTATCACAATGCATCACAGTTGACGGAATAGCGCCCAGCGACCTGTCGGATCTCGTTCATGCTTTGTTCAAAAGACACGCTACATATATGTTGTGAGTTTTTGGGTGAACACTAATTTAAGCCTGAGCCTAAGCCTAATTCCCTTTTTTTAATGCACATTTTCAGCGAGAACGCACGAAAAGCCAATAAAAAATCGAAGAACAAAATCATGGATGAACCCGAAAATGTCATAATTTCTCGATTCTGTTTTCCCGCCAACTTTGAGATTATACTGATCCTTTCGCCATTTATACACTTTTCTTCAGCGTTTCGCATAATTTCTTTCAGTGAGCACCTGTTTCGCTTCATAATTATCTGAAACCTTCAAAATTATTCTGTTTTGAACAACTATGGGCAAAACAACCTAAAAAAATCAAGCACTTGATTCTCGCCTGTTGAAAGCGCAAGAAATCCGAATATGGTTGAAAAGAGCAGTGACTGGAAGCACCTAAATGGGTAACCAGGAATAATAAATTCAAAAAGCAAAAAAAAAACTGAAATACTGAAAAAATCTGAAGTTTCCGCTGATTTTTTGGGTCTTTTCTGTTGAAAGCGCGAGAAATCCGAATCTGGTTGGAAAATTGTCCGAATCTGGTTGGAAAATTAGCTTTGTCGGATCTGGTCGGAAAATAAAAAGTTTCCGAATCTGGTTGGAATTTTACCCGAATCTGGTTGGAAAATGCCCGTTACCCGAATCTGGATGGAAATTCCCGAATCTGGTTAGAAACCGATTACCAGAGATGTTCCCGATTTTCGTACGTTTTCAGTCAATTTCTTAAATTTTTTTCCGACTTATTTGTAGAAGAGAATTACAGAAAAATCGAAGAAAAACAAAGAAAATCGAGAAAATCTTCTAGGTTACTGTATTTGTCGTTGTGGGACCTTCAGAGTTCTGATTTTCTTCGAACAAGTTTAATAATTCAACTGCGATTTCCTCTTTCCGACGACATTTTTCTCATTAATATGAATTTTTCAGATCTTTGAAGTATAATTTTCCAGTTCAATATCCCCATTTTTTCTCGGCTTGTCTGTTAGGCAATAAAAAGTTTTGAGGAAAGAAAGAGTAGTGAATATGGCATTTATTTGATTGGATATCTCCGGCAATTTTCATTCTTGCATCAGAAGTAAAAAAGAAGAAAAAGAAGGAAAGACAAATAATATTTGTAGTTTGGGAGCGGTTGTACTTGAAAAGGGGATTATAAAGTAATGGAAATAGTTTTTGAAAAAAATAGAATTTTGTATTTTATAATCGGATTTCAGTTCTGGATCACAAGATTCCCTACTAAATACAATGCAATCTTCGATTCATGATGCACAAACAAGAGAAAAATGGATAAATTTTTAAGAAGCGAAATAAAAATTGCAAGAACAACAAGTATAGAATAGTTTCAGCTATCACTTCTTCTTTCCGTGGCTGCTCTTTTTGGTTTTCGACTTGACTGGTTTTGAAATTTTCGACTTTTTCTTCATGACGATTTTTGGAGTTTTCGCCTCTTCGACAGTTGGACTCTCACAAGTTTTCGTTGCCGTATCTCCTCCATCCATTTTCTCTTTCTTCTTCTCACTTCTTTGAAGAGAACTGTATGGATCCAGGCGGAAATAATCTCGAATGTCAGAATATTCCCATTTAAACATATAAATTGATGTACGTCTATCGTTGTGTTGTTGCTGGAAATAATAGACATTAGCTTTATCTAGCGATGAAACCTACCCAACGAACATACGACGGCATTTGCTTCGTCTCCCAATCATAAGGGTCGATCCAAGTGGATTTGCTTTTATCGTAGACTGCCTTGAACGTGTTATAAACTAATTCATAGTTAGGGAAAGAGTAGAATGTACACGACCGAAGCATCTGCTCCACAGCGTCGAAGGAATCTGAAGAATGTTTTTTTTTCAATTAAAAAACTGAAATGAAACAAATCTTACTATCTTTGAAGAGCTCACTGAGTTTGAATTTGAGCTTGCAATTTTTTAATTGCTCATCTTCGAGAGCATACCATGGAAGAGGTTCAACCATCTCAGCGATCATGTACATCAGAGACCAAACATCGTCTATTCTAGCCAAATCAATGTAATCGTGAGCATTTGGTGATGCGTAGACGGGAGTTCCTCTCAACGATGTTATTTTTTTCTTGGGTGGTCGGAACTCTAGATTTGCCGAGTCTGTCGTTTTTTGGCCATCTTTCAGCATTGTACTGATGGCTGCCCCCTTCTTCGGCCTCGTGAACGCCCGAGAAATTCCAAAATCAAGAAGGTGGAGGATACGAGACCTATTTGGATCGGTTGCAGGTCCCATTGCGAAATTCCCTGGTTTTATATCATGGTGCAGGTAGCCATTGTCGTGCATTTGTTTCAGGCTAGAAAGATTATCGAATTTTTCAAGTTATCTTGTCAAAAACTTACACATATAAGCACTGAATACCAATTCGACTCCATGTTCCAGGAGACGAAACGTTTGGATCGGCGCATTTTAGTCGAAGGCTTTTCAAATTGTCGCCCAGAAGATCCATCACCACTACATGACATTTTAAATCCGCACCAGCGAAAATACACTTGGGGAAGTATTTCGCTTTGTTCTCGTCTAGCTTGTTCATGATCTCGATCTTAAATAGAAACAATTTTTTCGAATTCTTAAAGTCACTGCACCTCAATTTTCAACGCCGGCGCCGCCCCATCGACTCTTTTCGGCTCAACTTTCATTGCGAATCGTTTCCCGTCTTTAGACACAACAAATACTTGACCATAATTTCCTTCATCTATCTTTTCCATTACTTGGAATCCATGATACCTTCAAAAAGAATTAACTTTCAGGTGAGGCTCTCATTCTGCACCACTAACACATCTCCGTTGCAGATGAAAAGTTGCTCGAACTGCTCACCATATGTGTTTTCTCCCATATTTGATTTCAAATGTGAAGTTTGTGTCAGCACTTACCATTTCTGACATGTGGAATCAGCTGCCACCTCACGTTCCGAATATAGGTCGAGGTTTACGAAAATAATCGGAGTCTCCCTTCCCTTTCCGCTTGGAGACAAGACATGACTCTTTTGTGATTTTTCGTTGAGTTCGTTTTCGAAAAAAACGTACTTCTTTTCTTAACACAACCTAATCAAGCCCTGAAACTCTTGGTTTCCTAATCGGCGATTTTTGAGGAAAAAAAACAATATTATTATCCTTGTCTGAGAAAAAAAAGGTTGAGACGCAGAGAAAAAGTGTCTGTGTCTCCACCTTATGTGTGCTATTTAGGCTCTCCGCTTCGATATCGCTACCGTATTCAGACTGCATAATATGCTTGTCTGACTAGGGAAGGTTGTTTGTGGGGTATGGGACTTCGATATGAGACCTATATCATTCGAAAGCTGAAAATTTTCTGCGTTTTCTAAAACTGATTAAAATTGTTGTTATTATGCTTGTCTGAGAAAAAAAAAGGTTGAGACGCAGAGAAAATGTGTATGCGTCTCCACCGTTTGTGTGCTATTTAGGCTCTCCGCTTCGATATCGCTACCGTATTCAGACTGCAAAAAATACTCTCTAACCTTTTTTTTCTCAGACAAGCATAATATATGCTTTTGAAAACTATTTTGAGCCATTGTTTCAAACCACTTTTGGACTTTTGAGAATATAAAGTTAATGGTTAATAAAAGATTTTGGATGTTTTTTGATTGCTATTGCAATTTTAGATGTTTCTATACAATCTGACAAAGTTTCAATGCATATTTTTTCAGAAAAAAATTTGAAAAAATGTTCCATGGGGTACCCACTTGGGTTCAAGCGAGGGGGTCAGAAAGCGCGCCCCAGCAAACTCGTAGGCCAGAAGAAATTTAATAATTTTAAAGTGGACGCGGGTTTGATCTAGATCATGATCTATTTCTTCAAAATCAACTGGTTGCAAGGCGC